CAACATAAAAGATATCGGAATTTTTAGAAATAGACATTTAATTCTGAATTTTTCCATTATAAGATTTGAAGATGCAGTGAGGTCACACAAATGAAGATAGTGGTTAACCTAACCTTGTTAGGTTTTTCTTGCAGAGGATATCAAAAAGGAACATATTGGACTGGTCTGAATCTTTTGGGAACCTCATCAACTGACATAATCTTTAATTTGGCACCTATACTGTGAGCATTTCCAAGCCCTGGAGTGCTATGAGAAGTAGTTCCATGTCATTGCAACAGGCCAGAACTGGGTAATAAGTTATATAGATTTTGTGTATTTATAGAAGGCTAATTATTATTTATTGAGAAACTTACTGGGTTTTTTTAGATAGTTATTACATAGTTGGACCTACTAGATCCTCTAATTTAAATACTATTACTATTGGTTAATTAAGAAACTATTCTTTGGTAAATACATTTCTATAATATATTTTACATGTTTACAATACCAGGTGTAGTAAAAGTTAAGACAAGAATTGTTTCTCATTCTTTTCTCTGATCTTCTCACAGACTTTTCCAGAATGATGCCGTGGAAAGTTGTGTTTCTCTCTGTGGTCAGAGAGCTGCTGTTACAGTTCCATAGCAGATAAACCAATTAAAAAGAAAGATGAACAAACTAAATTATGAGATGGAAAAGAATAAAATCATTTCTAACCTTCTCCACTCATTCTGTTAAATAAATGTTAAAAAATACCCAAAAAAATCTGGAGGGTAAAACTGCAGAAACAGAGAGTAGATTAGGAAAACTAAAAGCTTTTCCTCTTCTAAAGTCTTCAAAATTACAATGATTTTCATTGCCTTGATAAAATCAGACCTGGGTGTTACTGCCATATTTTCTTTTTAGCTTCCAAAATTATTATAAGTTTTGCATGAAATTAAAGCAAATAGTTGTTTATACTCCATTTTGAAGCAGTCAGCATGTCACTAAGTTAGCACTTCTCTGAGATCTACAGAGTAGGATTTAGGCTAATTCACGGCACAGCACTTTTCAGCCAAAGGTTATTTTCCTTTAACCATTTTGTTTTTCATAGGCCTTGGCTAATTGCAGGTTATTGGAGTCCAATATAATTGCTTGTTTAATTGCTTGGAAGAAGGGGAGCTTCCGTAGTTGAAAAATAGCTTATTTTCTTTTAAAATAACTGAAATCGGCCTTAGGGTGCTCTAGAGGGCAATGCACTATATATTTGTGTTATTTTATTCTTTCAAAAATTCCCAGAATAGTCATGAAATCTTTGGAAGGTAGTTGATCTCCAGGAGGTTGTGATAGGTCTCTCCCAGGGTTTGTAAGAGTCTATGATAACTCAACATCATAAGAAAAAATCATTTCAAAATTATTGTAAGACTGGGTCAAAGACTCCAAAACCAGCTGCTTCTTTCAAGAGGTGACACTAAATAGAGGAGAGGAGGAAATCTTGAAACAAAGTCCGGAGAGCTTGTGAAAAAGGGTTAATCAGTTTGACAGTGGTCTGCATCACTTTTACCTGTGCTGTACAAACTTGTGTTGTGTTGAAGCACACAAATAATGGAAAAAAAAAGAAGGAAAAAAAAAAAGGAAAAGAAGCTTAATGTGGTAGTTGATGACATGGAGGAAAGTAAAATAACAAACAAGATAATAAGATAGGGAAAACTGTAGCCTGCATGTTGAGGAGCCAGAGATAGTCCTAATATGTTCAGGGTCATTATTTCTGTCCTTGATACAACTTCTTACCTTAGTGCAGGGTTTGATCATGTCACTTCCAGCCTGCTCTCCTCTCCAGAGGAAGACTTTGATGTGAACATGTGTGTTCCTGTCCCTGTGTAATCTGTCCGTCTGTTCTTCTGTCTTTTCCCTTACAATTTAATTTTTTACTCATTACCAAGCAAATCTAGTACAAAGGGAGTGTTCTCCAAGACAGTGAAATTCCAACAAGTTTCAGGGAAATTTCATGTTCTTGTGCAAGAAAAGAGAACCAGAAATTACTCCCAGAAACACTCCCAGCTGAAGGCAGCATTTCAGCCTGAGTTGTGACAAAGAGAAGCAGCAAAGGGTCAGTAGAAGGATGGGTACTGAGAAGAGGAATCCACAGAGACCCTTCCACAAGAGATCGTCTCTGCATATTGCACTTTACCCCAAATGAAATTCACAGGGAACTAGGCATTAGTTCCAGCACTCACAAAGCTAGGAGCTGTGCCTCTCAGTGGAAATTATATGTGGAAATTCCTGTTGCCTAGCCTTAACCCATCTCATTGAAATACTTTTTTTGTTTAGGATTTCTGTAGTGTTTTCTAGATGGGGGTTAAGGGTTTGTGTCTGTGTTTGTTTGATTTGATTTGAATTTTTTTGAGGTGTGATGAGCAAGCAAGTGGTCTGCATTACTGAGCTTGATTTGCACCAACAGTCAAGGTACCAGCCAAAAACACTAGACTGATAGTTTTGTGCAAGGCAAAGGTTTGCCTCTTCGCTTTAGAGCAAAAGTTAATTTTGGGTAGAATATTGACACAATTTCTTACATTTCATCCTTGGCTTTTCTAGTGAAAAGAGAGATTGCTTTTTCTCTGCCTGGTATGGCAAGCAACCTCCTTTCTAAAGGTATGAAAATAGTGTAAAAATAAATATCTAGTAAAAATACTTCTACAATGGGAAGGAATCCAGTCTGTTTGGAGACTGTTGCAAGACATATATTGGCTCACATTGTCTTTCCTGTTCTGAGCATCTGAAAGGTGCAGTGCATCCCCAAACCTCTACAAACCACAGTAGCAACTGAGTGCTAAGTAATCATTTGCAGAACTTTAGGGCATTGTGAGTATGCTGAGGGCAAGATGCATCTGCTTCTCACAGATGCAGTCTTGAGAAAGCAGCAGACAAGGATTTGTGGATGATGGGAGGGGAAAAGATTCAAAGAGCCTGCAAAGCATTCCTCTGGTTCTTTTCTTTTCATATTACTTTTTGTCTGTCATCTCAAAGCCTGAAGTTGAGGAAGCCATTTAGTTCCGCTCACATCCACATCAGTCCTCACGGACTCCATAGGAATTAGCAGGACTCCATCAATGTATCATATGAGCTCTAGAAATGGTCCCAAGTATGCTGATCTTGGTTTCATGTCTGGACAGCTTGATCTAAGCTTGAAACAGAATATTTTATGTATTCAGAGGAAAACTGTTTTGTGCTTATGTAAAGAGAAGAATGTTAGTTGAGATTGCAATGAGACATTTTGCTTATACTATATCTTGTTGTGTCTATTAAAGCTATTAAACAGCAGCTGATTGCAAAACCCTCTTGCTAATTGAGTTGTTTTAAGCTGCTAGCAGTAGATATTATGTAGGATTATGTCTATTTTGCTAACTGAACATTTAACATTTAAAAGATAAAAGAATGAGGAGAGTGGAAAGAGGTGTAGGGAATCATTCAGGTTGTTTTAGCATCTCAAGTTTTTATTCCAATGGATTATAATTTTGTTGGTGTTAAGGAAGTAGCTCATGGATTTGACTTGAAGTCTTTATAGATATGAGGTTTGACAAGAAAGATGTACATTGAGCCAGCCTTTCACAAATGCCTAAATCTGTTTCAGAGGTCTGCAATGGGAGATTAGAAGGCTCAGATCTTGTACAGCAGATCACCATCACTTTGTTTAGTTGATGAAAATGGAAGGTTCAGGGGTTTTTCCATAGTATGAGAACAAGGCATGACATTATAATATTTAAGGATAGTAACAGTAGTAAGCTGATCATCATCATAAAAAAATAATTATGAAAGGTACTATTCCTGAAGGAACAAAAGCACAACCATTCTGAGAAGGCAAAACGATACCAGAGTATCCCACACTGACAGACAGTGCACGTTAGCCACTTACTAATGGACAAAATATGTGATATTTTCATTGTAATTGAGATTGCTTAGCCAGGGTTCAACACAGAATGGACTGCAAGCTAACTTTAAAAGTTTGTATACAGCAAAATACACATAGCCAAAACTTTGAAGAGTTTTTTGTGACTCATCCTGGAAGCTAAATATGAGAAATTGTGAATATATTTGCTTTATGTACTACTGCTTGTACTTGAGAATTCTACACCTTCTTCTCATATTCTTTTACCTTAATACAGCCTATGGCTGTTCTTTGGTGCTCTGTAAAGGTAGATCAGTTAAAACCTTTCTGAAGCCAGTTCTGAATTGTAAGCTACTGATTCAATTCTGGTTTTAAGTTTTTTCAACTCTCCTATCTTAGTGATGATAATCATGGTTGTGTGTATTTGAGTAGCTGAACCCGAAATGCTTTCATTTTGACTATTCACTAAGCATCTGTTTTAGAAATGCTTTTTCCTGTGCATTAAGCTTCAGCCCTGTGCATTTGTAACACTCTTAAGTGTAGTCAATAAAAAGTAAACATCATGTCTAGAAACTCTTAATTGTAATTTCATAGCCGTATCATCAACTCTGCCCTCCCTCTTGTCCTATCACAGGCATAGACTTAGGTAAAGTCCTTGAATTCTATTTGGGTAATTATTCTTCCTCTGTGAAGAAATGGACTCCTAAATTTGTTGCAGGTTGAATTCTTTTTCCATTTGCTCCTCCTGCATCTTCCTTAAAAGCAAATAAGAACATCAGTGTATTCCACAGTAAACAGTATAGATAAATATGTTAAGTTTGGTTTATGTTAAAATAAATTGCATTCTGTGTTTAGCTTAAACCCTTAATGCTGTGGGATATAGGAATCATGAGGCAGGGGAGATGCTAGCATAGGCACAACTTTTTGCTAGTTGCCATATTCATTCTTTATTGATTGGTACCAGCTTCAGAAGAGGTCTTGTATGGTCCTCACTCATTATTGGAAGACACACATCAGTGTGGTGGGTCATTAGTCACTTTCTTTCCTTAAACCATAAGTTAACACTTTTCTGTGATGAGCAGTTTGTCTTTCTTTAACACTGCTGAGTCTTTCTTGCAGTCCATGTCAAGGATTGAACTTCCCAAATTATATATTTCAGACATTAAGAAAGAAAGGACTTAATGGCTGTGACAGTCCAGACCCTGATGCAGACGATTCAGTAGGTCACAGCCCTGAGTCTGAGGACAAGTACAGAAAACTTAATGAAGATATTGATCTAATGATCAGCAGGCAAAGATTATGTGTAAGTACTCTGAGCTCCTTTTCATTTTTTTTACTTTCTGATATTTCTCTGAATCTGGCAGGCATTGCACAAGAAAGAAAACAAAGCTTGTGAAAGCCCTGATCCTGACTCCTCTTATGCTCTCACCCCACGCACTGAAGAAAAATATAAAAAAATTAATGAAGAATTTGATAATATGATCAAGAGCCATAAAATACCTGTAAGTACCAAAGGTTAGATGGCTGTCTGCTGATAACTGCTGCAGTAACAAACCATAACCCTTTCAGTTCTGGCTTCTTAAGGAAATAAATTCAGCTAGAAAGAGGTTTTAATAGCCAAATATATAATTAAACACAGTGGTGAGAAAATTTCACACAGCATATTTTTGTTTCAAGTCTCTAACTGACAGACAAAACCTATTATAGGTGAAACCTACAGAAGGAAGTGAAATATATGTATATGAACTATATTCACTTGATTTACAGAAGTGTTTTACCACACCACTTGCCCAGATTATACTTAAAAAATAACAGTGGAAATCTTTCTTTGTGGACAGGCAAACAAATCGACAGACTACTTTCTGTGGCAACATACAAAAAGTGATCTAAAACTAAAATTGCTTTATGTATAGTAATTAGTGCGTTTAGTGTGTGTAACTTCAATTCTCCATTGTCTCTACTAAATTCAGTTGCAGCACTGAAGGGTTATAGCTACTTGCTCGCTGCAGAGAAACAGACTGCATGAGAGCCTGCAATGGCAGGTCTCAGACATGTTTGTGTTGGGGTGATTTTACAGCTTTATCAGAGAATTTGCTTTGACGTCATCAGCATTACTTTAATGCTTTAACATGAGCTAAATTTTGTTTTAACCAAGTCAAAATTTCTAACAATCAGTCATGTGCCTTGCCAGATATCTAAGAGAAATAACGCTGCATGTCCTATTTGTTTTGCACGAGACATACAAAGGATGGATTATTTGTCATTATGTTACAATATTACATTTTTAAAGACAACAAGTATGGAGGTTTTGAGGTTATATTTGATTGGTTTTCCAAGTGTCTGTGGAAAACAAATTAGGAAACCAAATATTTGCTCAGATCCAAAGAAGCTTTTGAATTTTTATAGGTAACTTCTTATTTCTAAAAGACAGGAATAAGAGATGATTCGTATGTGTTCATGTCATTCCCATACAAAGGTTGCACGGCTATCTGCCAAAAATGTTGTCTGGATACCTAGAATGCACAGTGTCTTCTGTAGTGTTAATCAATTGCACATAAAAAATCTGACAACTAAGATGAGGATACTTCTTAAGGAGGCTCAGATTCTCTCTCAAGCACTCTAAGTGTTCTTTCTATTAAGTCTCAGCAGAAGGATTTTTCACTCAAGGTACTTAAAATTTGAATAAATTCTTACATAAGGCCAAAAATACTTTGGAAAAATATAAGGACACCAAATAATATTTTCCCAGAGACTAGAAAAGGACCAAGTTTGATAAAGCAATATTTAAAGTGACTGATTAAGGGTGCCCAACACGTATGTAGAATGTCAGGGAGGAATACAGATCTATCCAAATTTTTTTACCTCCCGTTTTATTTGCTTCTTTTGGAAAGCTGTTTTTCTCAGAACAAAACAGCTCTAAAACTGTCACTATTAATTTGCTTTCTCAGGATGCAACTCAGCTTGACAAACAATGACCACTGTATTGAGAGTGATTGTTATAAGCCAGACTGCTTAACACTTTTTCACATCAAAATCTAACCAACTGTTATTCTTTCATGCCATTTCTCTTTCAAGGATGACTTTTGGCTTTTTCAAATAAAACTGACAGAATTTTCATCAAGCTACTTTTCTGCCTTAAAAATATATTTGGAGTGATCCTTCAGAACATCTGTTAATCTCATGCTACCTGTTTCTTTTCTTTCCTAACAAAACAGGTCATGTTATAATCATCTGAAATCTTAAGACTTAATCTTAAAAAAAAACTTTGGAAAAAAAACTTCATTCCTGTAGTAGTGAGTTCTGTCTCTTTCTTTACCTCCATAAGCATTTGGGAAAATTGTCTTTTCTGTAAACTGAAAAAAATATGCAAGATATGTAAACCAGACAGTTAATCTGAGCATGGTATATCAGTTTTGTTTTCCCAAAATTAATGGCATTTCCCTCCAGTTGCTTTCATTAAATATAACTTTTTGACATCAAATATAGTCCTACTTCAGGAATTAATTGGTGATTTAGGGTACAACTTCCTATCTTTCAGGAGGTTATGAAGTGTAGTGTATTAATCTTTTTGTGCAATTACTTCAGAGAAGCTTCAGAGACACAGAACAGCAAAATGTTAGCATTTTTTCTTGTAAGACAGAATAGCCATTCTCTGAATACATCACAAGCTTAGGGCCACTGTCCTCCATCAAGCTGCTTACCACAATAGGAAGAAACAGTAAATATTCTCTGGCAACAGGAACTCCTTCTCTTGGCATAAGCCGAGATGTAATGAGCAAGATCGAGATCACAGCTTATGCATAATAGAAATTTGTAACTGTCTGGGTTTATATATAAAATTATGTATTTTATACAGTAATTTCCTTAACTGGACAAATCAGAATAACTAAGTCAGGGAAGATATATTAATTTACTTATGATCATCAATGGTAGCTGAGAAAATTGGGGAGAAGAAAGCAAAATTAATAATAAAGTCACTGAGTCAAGTCTCTGAATCACTACTTATAGAATATAGAAAACAGTGCATTGCCTCTGCCTGGTTTTGTAACAAAAAATTGCTGCCAAATGAAAACAACATTGGCTTTTGCTCCTAACAGCTAAACGCAATAATGTTTCCTCAGATAATTTTCTGGGGATAAGTATTCATATTGCTCTAAACCATCTGATAAAATTGGACACTTATTTGTAAATTTCATAAGAATGATGGAAGCAGAGGAGACAGAAATAGCTCAGTAGAAGGAAGCTATAAGTATCTCTGTCTCTAAATGAATGAAGGCCTGGTTGAATATGAGAGGATAAAACCAATACTTAAGAGAATGTTTGGCCCATTAAGTTCCAAGGGGGTTGAGTGTCCAACACATTGTTTGGCATCACATACCATAGCTTGTGGAGTAAGCATCTAACACTGTGTGCTGTAGTTTGGGATCATCTCTGGTGAGCCTTCTGCCTCTTTGGCAGTAGTGTCTAAAGGAGAAAAGACAAAGGGAGGGAGAAAAAATAGGCAAAATGTGGCAAACTTTATACACATGACAGTATAGACTTTGTCTATACTAGAATTAGCAAAAAAAGCAAAAAACACACTAAAGCAACATGAAGTGTGCTTATCTCTGAGGTGAATTCTTTGAACAGTCCCCATCAGGCTTTTGACACGTTTTGATGCCAAATAACATTCTCCCAGACAATTTCTTCATTTTGTTTGTTTGTTAGTCCAAGCTAGAAATAATTCCCAATTGTCAGTCTACATGTAGTCATGACTTTTTTCAGGTTGAGAAAGCTTAATGGTATGGACATGAACTTCTCTGTGGCTTCAGATGGCCTCAGTTCCTCCCTAGCTCCTACTAATATAGATATTACACAAGTGCATCAGAAACTTTGTTGTCCATCAGGCTGAAATGAAATCAATATGACCCATGGCTCAGCAGGAATGACTAGAGAATCTGTAGGACATTGAAGTTCTTTGTGAAGAATGTATAACACTTTAATAAATTTAGACAGAGAAAACTGTACCTGGAAATATAGTGTTTAATACTGATATTTACCCAGTCAAACTTTTCCCTCTAACTTTTGACTGTAGTGAAGAAGAAATAAAAACTACCGTATTTCAGATGTAGTATATTGTGCTGAAAAGCAGTAAATTAACTTTGCCCTTATAAAATTGTCTACAGTGCTCTGTAAGCAGATGCAAGTTGATCCAGATAGTGGATAAAATGACAAAAGCTAGACTATAAGTACAGAAATTAAATAATTCAACTACTTAAAAAATATAATTTTTAAATGACAAAATGAAAGCTAAGTAACAGTTTTACATGACTAGGGAGACTGGCAATTCAAAGAGCTACCAAGATTGGAGCTCTTGTACAAATGTAGAAAAAGAAGAATCTTGAACAGTTTGGTTTGTACATGGAAGAAAAAGCATAGTGGTTAAAGCAAACAAGCTTTCAGAATTCTGACAAGACCTTCAGTTTTGCATTTGTACAGGTGTTTAAGTTTAGATAAGAGAAATTTAGATTAGGAAAAGGTATTAAGAAAATAGAGACAATAATAGTCTCTACCCAGGCTCAGAAGGCAGACTTTATAGGTCTTGTGACACAGGGTGATGAAAACCTTATGCAAAGTCCTCCCTTGACGGTGACAGTCAGTGCAACATGGACTGGTACTCAAGCAGGCAGGTCCATGGGCTCAAAGCCACCAGGCAGAGAGAACTCCATCACAGCCCTGGATGTTGCAATAATCAGAAACTCCACGTTGACTTATTCATGTCTCACATCAGGCTATAACTAGGACTCAAACATGGAGAGCTCAAACACTGACTTTGAACTCCACAGTCACATGCTTCTGACTAACATGGGATTTAGGAACATTTTTGGTCCTTCTGTGGCCAATAAAAAGAATGACTTGCTTCAAAACATATGTTCAAGCTGATCAAATGTTTCAGATTATGCTACGTGACCCTATTTCCAAGGAGCTTAGACCTGAGTCATAAGGGTGCAGATTACATGTAGAATGTTACATCTGTGGATTAGATGTAGAACATGTGGATTCCCAAAACACCTCACCTTCCTTTCCTACCTCTACTCAAATCAGTTAGCTCTATGAAAACTACAGCTCTTTGAGTGCATTGCAGCTTCTCAGCAAAGGGAAACAAATTCCCATGTGCCCCCAGGATGGGAAGCAATGCCAGCAGGCCCATCTACTCCACTACTGTTGCTATGGCTATCTCTCGAAAAAAGAAGAGGGTATCAGAGCTAAATTAATGCTTCAAAATCATTCAAAAGCATTTTTATAAAGTATCCTTAACATCATACCTTGAAAGTCTTGCTCTTTGTTTCAGTGGTTAGGCAAAATAATTCCTCCATATTTAGAATTAAATTTTCTCTGTCCCTAGAGAGGACCAAGAAAGAAAAAAAACCACCTTAAGAGACAATTGTAATTTGATGGATAGTGCTGTAATACAGAGGGCATAGCCAACAGTTCCAGCCAGAGAAGAGACATGGGTGGTGCAAGGTCAGGGTGCCTCGGTTGCATGACAAGCAGTTGATATGTCCCGCTCTCCTCCTAGGTCCTTGAAGATATACCAGTACTATCAGCTGCCAACAATAAAATTAAAACTTTTAATTTCCTCCCTTGGAATATGTTACCAGTCTACTTTAAGCAATTTTTTTTTATGTGTTTAAGCTCTTGAAGCTTATAAGATTATAAATGTTAGAAAACTTACAAATTGAGGGGCTCTTGGTCTGTATTCACATATTGAATACTTAAAATGCTGTCAGGTAATTCTGAAAAGGTTTTTCTGATCAAAAAGACAAGAATTTTTAAAACTTAATTTTTAAAACAAATGAATTAAATATGGATTTCTAATGTAGTCGTAACTTTTATAGAAATTCAAGCAATTGCTACCCAAGAAACCCAACCAACAAACTCACAACCGCCAAGGAATCTTGAACTGAGATTCCTAAGAGCATAATGAGACATGCATCTCCTCACAACCTCTATTAGTGTGGTACATTATTTGCAGGTTTTGTGACTTTTTAAACATTCTTGCAAAGGGAAGCGTCTCAGGAGAAGTTTTTGTTATTAGGTATGAAAATAGGAAAAATAACCCACAAAGACTAGTGTGTATCTAAATTTCTTGTATTTGTTAGCTGTCCCTGAGGAGAACTTTACTTTTTTTAAGCCCTTCCAAGCTAAGATAGAAACTCATTAAAAATGCTTTACTGTACTGGCATCTTTTATGTGACTTGGGATAATTCTGGTTGCTAAAGCAACACAAGCTGAAATTAGAGCCTTCCCTTTTGTATTCCATCCCTTCCAATTTTTTTTCCATGTAATGAAGTCACCATTGTCATGTAATCTTGATCTTGCAGTAATCTATGATACTAGATTAAAGTGATAAGTGAACAATTAGGACTTCAAAGAATGAAACAAATAGAAAATTATGCTGCATTAGGCAGAGGTTTGTTTTAAACAAAAAAAAAAAAGTAGAAAAAATGAAGAAAGTCTTTCTAGGTCTCACGAAATAAATGTGCAAGCTGGGTTAAAGGAAGATGAAATCATTATTTGAAAAATCATATTTAAAACACTTGGTAATTATTTTGATACTCTTGAGTCTTAGGGGAAAGGGGAAAGTACAAATATTTTAACCACCATGTACAAAATATTTGAACTAAATACAGAGTTACTGTACTTAAAGGCTGTTTCAGTTTTGTACTATTCTCGTATTTGTTTTCCATTTTTGCTTGTACAGGCTGTTCCACCACCAAACTTTGAGATGCCAGTTTCTATTCCAGTGTCCAACCACAACAGTTTGGTATACAGTAACCCAGTCAGCTCACTGGGAAACCCCAACCTTTTACCACTGGCTCATCCTTCTTTGCAAAGGAATAGCATGTCTCCTGGTGTGACACATCGGCCTCCAAGTGCAGGTAACACAGGTAGGCTCTGTTCAATCCCATTCCTTCAAATGCTCTACTATCAGCTCCTTGCATGCTTTGGGTCACTTTGAATTGTACTCCAAGAAAAAAGAACCTTAACAGTCATAAGAACTTGTCTAAAACTGCTGTGTTGAAAAATCAAGAGACAAAAAAAAAAAAAAAAAAAAAAAAAAACCTGACTACTGAATATTGACTAAGATTGAAGGAAATCAGTGAAGTCAATAAAGGACAGAAGGGCAGACAGCATGATTTTTCATAAAAAGGCAGCTTATCTACTTAGTTCTTGCAAGTACTCATTATAACATAAAGCAGGGAAGAAAATGTAGCCAATGCAAAATTTGAAGCAAATTAGAACACTGATTACTTAAATAATCAGTCTACATGCTGATTTATATTGATTCACTCACAAGTTCCTTGATGGGTTAATGTTAATTGAGCTCTGTACTTCAGTACTTTACATAGCAAGAACAAATACATTTTTTCTGTTGATGACCAGAGCTTGTCTCTGATTAGGGTAAGTGGGGATTAAGTTGTTTCAATCTGTCTGCCTCCAGCAACATCAAGATCTTTAAGTATACCAGGTTCAAATAATCATTTGAGGTCTCCAAGTGCAAAGAGAAGTTTTAAAAATCCTTAGTGTGAATGTCTGTGAAAGGCTGAGGAAATTAAAAACTATGAGTATGTATTTATTCTGAGTTACATTCTTCTCAAGGAATCTTCAGCCTCTTCCTCCCAATCCTTTACTTTTCTGACTAGCATTCAACTAAAGACAGTTTTCAAATGAAGGAGTACTATACATAGCTTTCAAACATAATTTTTCATATGCTGTGGAAGCATAAAACTAAAATAAGGAAATTATGGGTACTCCATATTTTGTTTGTCCTTGAAAGGCAAGTGTCTTATACAGGTAACATTAAACATCATGATTTTATAATTATGGGTCTGATTCAACTGTGTGTTGAAGTCAGACGAAAGAAATAACGGGTACTACAGCAGGCTGATTGAAGGTAGAGAAAATATTTTGAATGTTTGAGTGTTGTAATTTATTGTGCTCATTTACATTTCCTTTCAAACTCCCAGGTGGCCTGATGGGTGGGGACCTCACAACCGGTGCAGGCACCAGTGCAGGTAAAGAGAGAAAAAATTCTATTTATTTTTTCAAGTGAATAAAGGACTTACTTCAAAAGCTGAGTTCTAAAATAGCTCCATTTTGGAGAGGGGATAGTAAAAATCCATTAGGATTTTTTGAATTCCCACAGCTGGGTTGTGGAGCATTCACTGGCATTTGTGCTTCTGTTATTAGTAGAAAGAGTCTTGTTTTCCAGCAGGATCAAAAATCTTGCACCTCAACAAATTCCACAGAAACAAATGTCTGATTCCCTTCACATTAGCCTTTCCATAAAAACTTTTGGGTACATTGCTTTGCCTTGGTCCAGAAAAACTCCTGGTGGGGTCAGTGTGAGAAACTTTGATCCTTTTTGCATCCTGGGAAGGTTTGCCATTGACTTGAGTGGAATTAGGTCTTCATTTTATTAATTTAAGCTTGAATAAAGATTTCAATAGTGAATTGCTCATTGTATTTCAATATACTGTGTGTGAACTGTATTTCAAACCTCTGCTCTAAGACAGCAAAATCTGTTAGCATTTACTTAAATAATTAGTAATTAACTTAAGCTTTGTCATATGTATTTGCTTACTGCTTTGATACACAACAGATAAAGATTTTCAAAATACCCAGGCAGAGAAAAAGATATGCCATTTAGTCCTACTCCCTTGGAACTACCAAGAACTGTACTTGCTGAGGTCTGTGTTATCAAAGCAATGTTGTCAGAGTAGTCCCTTTTGCTCAGTAAACTCAGTGATCTGTTAGCAATATCAGCGATGTTGCATTATGACAAATACAGATTACAAAAGACAATGTCAAAATTACTTTTGCAGTTTGAGAAGTAAACATATATTCACAGAAAATAACTGAGTGGTAAGGCATGATGTTTTGCTTGGGTAACTGCTCTCAGGGAGAATTGTACGGAAAAATAGTTGGAAGATCAATTTTGTGCACTATAAATCAAGGCTGATATAAATGGCAATTCCAATATTGTCTGTTAAAATCACCTATAAAGAAATTTTAGATGTAATGGTTTAGGGTTTTTCTCCCCTGTCTTTTCTCAGCCTGAATTAGGGACCTCCACTCCCCTTTTATTTTCACACGTAGATGAGTCACAGATATTTGTGCGATGCATTCACAGTACAATTAGAGCCGCACAGCACTGTACCAGAAAGGCACTTTAAACACATACTAAAGCTTTAGGGAGTCATTTCGTATTAATTTTGGAGTAGGGAAGGCAGACCATGAAAACTTCACTATCAGTCTCCTTTGTTCTCAAAAAAAAAAAAAAAAAAAAAAGGGGTGACAGAAAATTATGTTTTTTTCTATTGTCTCCTGTTAACCTCTGAAACAGCGCTAAAGAAATATTCGTTCTGCAGTGTTCACATTTCATCTTACTTGTAAGCTTGAGCAGAACTTCAGGAACAGCAGCAGAGGGACTGACATAGGAATTGATCGCCCTATTAAGGAGCTCCCTCTCCTGGCTCATATAGAAATATCATCACCTCATTACTGGCCTCCTCTTCCTTTAAATAGACCCTGAAAAGCATTTAGTAAAGAAGGCAGTGTTTCATTTTAAAACAGGGCCATACTAAAATAAAAATTCATCTGCATGTGCATTTCTGTTAATAATCCTTTCTCTTAATAAAATCTGTATATCACTACACCAGCTAAAAATTTATTTTCTTTCTAAATGCGAGATTTTTTTGGAAATATATTAAAAGCATACTTAAGCATAAGAAGAAATGGTTTGATTATTCTTAATCAAAAATTAAGGACTTGCATTAAGCTCTCAAGCAATGCAATTTTGGAGTAAGCAATTTATTTGAGCGGTATATATATGAGGAACATTGCTGAGAATACATCATAAATATTTAATTGCAGGAATAGTCTTTGTTCTTTATTGGAAAATAAAAGCTTTAAACATCATTAAAGAAATGTTTTCTAAATCTCTTTAAAGGAAGAATTAGATAAAGGGCTGAAGGAAGATGGAAAAGTACTATAAGGTTGAATCCTCTGTCTTAGTTGTATCATTCCACAATGGCGCTATTTTGAACAGTCATCTTTCTTTAAAGTGAAGAAGAATAAACATAAAAAGTTCTCTTTGTTCATCATTTTTCACAAGAAACAAAAACCTGTGCGTTTTCTTCTTTCTGGCATCTGAGAAGCTGGTAGCATGATCATGTTTGGGTTTATATTTCTGGCCAAATTAGAACCTTCTGAATTTGCATTTTTCCACAATGTGAAAAAATAGCATATATTCAATATAATATACTCCAAGAAAAAAAGTCTAAACAATTTCATTTCTGTCACTATAAAATCAAACTACTTTTTGTTATTACCACCGGTCCTCAGTTTCTGCACTACTTCAATAAATTACATCAAAATAAATTGCATTATTACTGCAATATGAGAAATGGAAAATGATTATTTAAGACAGTGTTTAAAGAAGTATGTTTTTTCATTGCCTTGGATTATTTCAAGTAGTAACACTAGAATCATCCACAATTTACCTTGGGAGTTAACCTAAGACATAAATAGAACTTAGAAAGTTGAGTACTTCTTTATTACACAACTAATTACCACGTATGGTATTTTTAAGGTTAACGAATGCTGTCTCAGAGTAAATAAGAGTAAATTTGTTCTCAGCCAAACACTGAGTGAGTAGTTTCTAACATGTCAACAAAATTGGAGTGATCTTCACATTTCGTATCATTGCTAATGTCTTTGTAATCAGTAATGTCTTTGACACTATTTCCTCAAAAGAGAGGCTTTTGATTGAAAGACAGAACAAGAACTTTTTGGACCCCAATAGGCATGCTCTAAATCCATTTTAGTTTACTTCATAACTAATATGAAGGCTAAGTGATGTATTTACCTGTTTATATAATAGACTACCTGAAGTTCTTTTAATTTTAATAGACTGTAGTCTTTAACAAAACTCTTAAAGGCAACTTGAACACAAATAAGTGTCTGTGAGGTTTTAGTACTGTCAATTATCTCAACTCAATTTTTATTCAGTGGCATATTGTTTAGGTTGAAAGTTTGATAGAAAACTATTATTTTTTAATAGTTTTAAAGATTTAAAACAGAACAGTCTTTCTTTGCATCTGTCCTTTGAACTTTTGATTTTCAAAGTGAGTTCTACTTTTAGACTGGGTCCTATTTTTCCTTTTGTACGGCTTTCAGAGAAAGGTATTTTGTATTTTGTAATAAAGTTTTCCTTTGAATGGAATGAGCCAATTCATATCAACAGCACTTCTATAGACTTAAAACAACTGTAAATAATAAAATAAAAGGAAAATTTCCATCTCAAGTTTTAAATTCATGATGGGTATAATAAAATATATACCTACTTCAACTGTTTACTTCTGTAATATATTTGTTTGTCTATTCAATTTCTGCACTGCCTCCATCTTGACATTAATATTAAACTAAAGGAGAAAGTTATTCTAAAGTGGTTGGAGCTCTACAAACACTGTCACAGAAACACTTGCTGTCTTTCAATCTAACATCTTCAAACTACCATTAAACCTGTTATTAAAAAGCACTAGAAACTGAATAGATCAGCATTGTATTGTGAAAAATTTATCCCATGTTTCTTAATAATGAAATCCTGTATTGAATCTGCAGCATATCATGAATCAGCAGCAAGTCATTTCCTTTTGGAAATTAGCCACAGGCCAGCAACTGGCTTCTCATCTTCTGAAGGCTGAGGTCCTGAAGTTCCAGCCAGTATCATAATTTTCTAGTGTTTTCATTCTCCTTTTCCTTTTCTGGGTAGTGTATTGACTATGGGTGAATGTATTATATATTTTACTAGTATTTCTTGCCACATGGGAATATGGCTATATTATGGCTATATGGCTATGGTGTAATAGTAGCAATTTTTAATTTATATTCCCTCAGGGTAGAGGCAATCTGGATGGTATATCCTCAAAGAGTGATTTAGTAAAAAGATGTGCAATCTGCCCAATTAAGCTTACAAGCAGTACCAAAATTAAGCAATGATTTCAAAGACATCTAGCTGCATTAAAGACTTTTTGAGCTATAAATATAAATAAACAAACAAATTAAATAAATTGAAATGTTACATAAGTATTCTTCACTCTACCCTGACATCATGCTTGGTATAGCCAAGAGAAGGTAATTCTTGGACAACAAGTGTGAAATATGTTAAATAAACAAATGAGCTTGGAGAACTATTTCTCAAACCACAGTTTATGGGTTACCTATTAGTAAGGCGGTAACTGGCTTTGCCACAGAGAGCATGATAAGTTGTTGTCCCATATTACTTGAGTGCAATAATCCACAGACTTCTGGCCCAAAGACTGGGCAAAATGTGATACAGAAGTAAATAGTTCCTGTCTAAGGAATCTCACAGCACAAAAGAAAGGACACACAGTTATTCATAACAGAGTTTGTGATGCAATAGAGCCAAATCCAAACAATAAGAATTCATAAATTGGCAAGTTGGCTTAAAACCATGAAGTGGGATAAGAAATTAAAAATGTAACTGCTCTGGTTTTCCTTTTCCGCTTGTATTACGCCTTTAAGTGTTCCTCTTCCAAGGTTTTCTCCATATAAGAATATATATCTGTATACATAGAGATGAATACATAGTAGGATGGGTGGATGGATGGATGGATAGATGGATAGATGGATAGATAGATAGATAGATAGATAGATAGATAGATAGATAGATAGACACATAGATTAGATGATAGATGCTTTTTTTTTTCATTGTTTCAGGGGAAGTTCCTACATTGTTTCAGGTAGGAGATTTTGTCAAAGCAGGCAGAACACTAAAACTTGTTTGACAGGTCTAATACATGGTATGAAGGAAATAGTCTATCTACTGAATTTTATACCTATGTAGTCAGTCAACACAGGCCTTTCCAACTCTAATTCCAAGTTACAAATAACACACAAAACTCACAAATGAAATTTTGAGAAAGGCTAGATGCTGCTGTTCATATAAAAAAAAATTAAAATCTTGCAGTGGGTGTCATATACAAAGCTTGGATGTGTCTGTCTTCAACTAATTCATGTGACCTCTTATCAAAGAGACCCATGCAAGCCCATTCTCAGTAGACTTCAATGAAAATCTGTAAAAATTTGGCCTTTATTAGGCTTCTACCAGTTGTGTAAGTGTTGACTTGTGGTTGTGTTCGAGAGTCCCTGGACGAGAGAAGAAATGAGAATCTTGACTCTATGTTTCAGAAGGCTGATTTATTATATTATGATATTATATTATATTAAAATTATATACTAAAACTATACTACAAAGAATAGAGAAAAAGGATCCATCAGAAAGCTAGAAAGGAATGGAATGGAATAAATAACAAAAACCCATGACTCGCAGAGAGTCTGACACAGCTGGACCATTGTTGGTCATTAAGTAGAAACAATCCACATGGACCAATCAAAGGTGCATCTGTTGGTAAGCAATGTTCAGACCACATTCCACAGCCATCAGGTAGTTATTGTTTGCATTTCTTTTCTGAGGCTTCTCAGCTAGAATAGGAGAAAAATCCTAGCAAAGGAGTTTCATAAAATATCATGGTGATATCGACTTAGTAACATATTTAGTTATTCTCTGTCTCTAATAACAATGTATCAATATTTGTATTTATAAAAAGACAGCTTGAAAGGTTTTCAAAAAGCCCTAAGTTCACATTGATGAACAACTGAGTCCTATAAACTGGTTCTTTGTAAATGAGATCTTAAAGACAGACATGATTGACTTCCTTTATTACAAGAAGTTTCAAATATTCCTCAAGACTAATTTGTGTTCTTTAGATAAAATCCCTTTCCAATTGAAGTCTGGGGGAATTTTATGCTTTCTTTAAATAAGACAGGAATTTCACTGGTTTTTTTTTGTCTGCATACTTGCTCATTAAGACACAACACTGTCTTCTATTGCACACTGCAATACATATTCTTGTTCAAATTCAGAAAATAGAAGAAGGCGTTGCAAATTAGAAAAATGTCTGTATTTCCTGCCTATCCTCAGTCCTGAAAGGAGTAGCTGATGCCTCTTGGATCTGGACTGGAGCAAGGACTTTGCTGTGAGAAAGAAAACAAGAAATGCTTTTAACCTCCTGAAGCTGTGACTGCAGCCCCACATGAAGTTCCTGACAGTATTAAGTTAACATGACCCCTGCCCTTTAACTTTCAATGTGATCCACCAATTAAGATATGGAATCCAACCATTCCCTTTGTCTTCCAAATCTCTTACAAGGTCACTTTTCCTGTGCTAACAGTTGGGGCAGTCTCCCAATAATAGAAGCCAAAGGAGACAGGGATGGGTTAGGTATCTTTTCAAATAAGGCATCCTGTTTATAATTGGAACTATACTTGTCTTGAAATATTTTTCATTGAAAAGCAGTTTCCTCATAATGATAATTGACTTCATATAGCCCAGAAAGGAAATCATTTGTCATCAACAAATAATTTGTTAAAAACAGATGATTGACAGAGGGATCATGGCTTCAAACTGAAACAGGGCAGGTTTAGATTAGGTATTCAGAAGGAATTATTGACTGAGGATTGTAAGACTCTGGCACAGGCTGCCCAGAGAAGCTGTGAGTGCCCCATTCCTGGATGTGCTGAAGGCCACCTTGCATAGAGTTTTGAGTAACTTCTAGCAAAAGGTGTCCCTGCCCTTAGCAGGGGGTTTGGATCTGAGTATTCTAAAGTTTTTTCCAACCCAAGCCATTCTGTGATTCTGTGTCATGATTTGTCAAAAGTCTCTTTCTGGCAGTCAAGTTCTCTCTTCTTCCCAGGAATGCATTTTTCTCCTATATATCTTCAGAAAGAAATACATTTTTCAGCAATATAGTTTTCTCTTTGACGTAAGTCACATTCTGGCGTTGCTTTCTTTTTCTCAATTATCACAATGTTGAAACAACCCATAGTAAAAAAAAAAAAAACAAATAACTTCTCATTTTTTTTGCATAAACAGGACTAGAATGGAGCATATTTTCAACTAGTGTAATTATAAGAGCATGGTTAAGTCCTGAAAACACATTTAGGATAGATGTTTATCTCACATCTCAGGGGAGTGCCACATATGAGTTGTTCACATGCTAGGAGATCAGGGCTATGCCCGTAAGTTGGAGATTCACTAAGATTTTTTGGAAAAGCTGTGATGCAAGCTAAGTTTCAGACAACCACCTTATCACTAATAGGAGAGGCACTGGCCTCTCCTGTTAGACAACACATTAGTGTGGAAGACTAGTGCATTCCTAGTGCAGAACATGGACTTAACATTTGTAAATGTCAAATGAGAGTGAGAACAGAGCACTATGCAAGGTCAGGGACATTGCACTGTGCTATCTCCTCATGGCAGTACATACAACACCAGTGGCAGAGGCAGGAGACCTGTTTTACCATGGTAAGACACCTTTTTTACCATGGTAAGAGCCATGACTGGACATTAGATTATAGGTATACTGGCAATAGTAATTGTAGGGGAAGACTGAAAAAACACAAACAGGACCTTAACTTGGATCATCTAGTGCTCTGTTTCTTTGCTGATTTTAAAAGTAAAATTTAAAAAACCAAGAAAATAAAAGAAAAAAAGGAATAGTGATGATCGTCCTTGAAGAAGAAAGCACATTCCCCCTTCTCTAAGTGTATAACTTATTACAGACCCTCATTGTCTATGATATACAACCCTATTTCCAAGGATTGCAAGGAGGGAGTCCATGTGCTGAAATATCTGCCTGCCACCTGGGAAGACTAATTGCAATGAGAATTGTTTTGACGGGTTTCTCAAGGTGCTTGTGTGGGTAGCCACAGGCTAATTCAAAGAGTCAGATACCAGTTTTACTTCTTTTTTATTTTTTTTAAGGTGTGAACTCCTAAAGTCAGAGAATACTTACTGGATGTACTAATTTAGAAACATTTAAGTACAACTCTTATTATAGCAATAAAACATAACCACAGTGTTTGTGATCAGGTTAGCTTGCCATGCACTTGACCCAGCAGTGAAGTGTTTGCATGAGGTACGATGCACAGATCAGTTTTCTGTTCTCATGGTCTTTCATCCTACACGCAGGACAACTGCAATGCCATCAGAGCGCTTTTCATCTTTTTAAACTTAAAGAGCAAGTTCCCATTGACAGTTATAGGACCTGCATGGCAAGAATGGGTGAGTTAAAGAGAGGTGGCTTAGACTTCTGTTGATGTAGAAATCTCTACCATATATTTATATTTCTAAATGATTAATTTTAAAACTAACAGAGTCATTGAGATAGTTTTCTTCTCATTCTTCTCTCATTCTTCCAAAAGTCTGTGTGTTCTCTGAACTGTCATCCTGTTTCAGCCCTCCTGAAAAAGTAGCTGATTCTTTCACAGGATGTTTGAGAATTCTTCCACACAAAGTCATTAGATTTCTTAATACCACATCTGTATGAGTTGACTCCTTATAATTCAGTTAAGAAGGTCCATTCAGTTAAGTTGAGTGTAGTGGGAATGGGCAGCTATTTAAAAGTGAAGATTTCCTTTTTCTCTGGATGAGGGTAGCAGCAGATTGGTTTTCTTCTCCCATTTGCAGTTAGTTACAGTTGTCTGCTGTGAAATGTGACAAACATGACATGTGAGTAAGAATTTTCAGTAACCTCTTTTTTAAATTATTTTTAGATGAACAACAGTACATCTTCCTAGCATTAGTTCTTTGTTGTTGCTATCTTTTTATTTTGGGTAACAAACCATAGCTTCTTTTAGTGTGTATGGAAAAAAAATACAAAAGAAATAAAGTAAGAGAGAAAAGGAAACTTTTCATTACCTTTTAATTATTATTAAGAACAATTACCATTCCTACAGAAAATAGGAAAATAAACTGAGAAAACAGAGAAAAACTGGATGCAAATTTGGCAAAATTTTTATTGATTCTTTCATACGTATGAATATATTTTGAAGTAGAGATAATTTGCAGAATACTTTGCTCTCATGTTTATATATATTAATTCTGTACTTAAAATTCTTCTTTAGAGCCTTGGTGATCAGTCAAAATATCATATATATGACATATGCATTTAGTATAACCAAATAGGAAGTAGAATTCCTCCAAGAAATCCAATGTATATATTCATCTTGGGAGAAATATTAAAGCTTTCACAAGTAAAAGTGTACACTTATTGGAAACTTGAAATGAGCAAGTTCCTCCTTCAAGAGGAGGAACTCCTTCAAGAATTTGAAAGTTCATTTTGTGTTAAAATTAATCTCAGATTCCTAAGGATCTTGTAAATTCTCAACCCATATTGTCAGTGAAAAGCACTAGAATAAACAAATAAGAGATCAAATAAACAACATACAAATTGTGTATCTTGTACTTCTTTCTTCCAGTTTAGTTCTTTAGAGAATTTTTCATTCTATATCTATATCTCTATATCTTTGAAATCACAAAAAAAAAAAAAAGAAAAAAAAAGAAAAAAAAAAAAGAAAAAAGGAACAAGTAGGAACATGACAGCTTCAAATGTTCAAGAAATCAAAGTTCTAAAATTTTCCAATTTTTCAAGACTTAAAGACTTTGAATTATTAAAATTATGTTCAAGAATGTTGAGAGATAAGGAAAAAAGTTACTCTTCTCTCATTTGCGCTACCTTAACATGTGGAAAGTTTCCTGGCTTAAATGCTCAGTATAAATTTATTGTCCTAACTCTGAGAATATTCAGAATTGCAGCCACTTTGCAACCCCTGTAACACCAATGACCAAAACTCCTTTAAAGGTATGGGTGTTACTAATAGGGGATGAAAGGAGAGAACTAAACTTTGCACTCTATTCTGTCCTGATTAAGCTTGTGCCCTTCTGGTATCCTTAAAATCTTAAAATTTAAGATTAAGATACTTAAGACAGTAATACATTAATTTGTAGCACAGTTAAAAATGTAGTTTTTCATTATTAAATGGATTTTTTTAAATAATTATTCTTGATTGAATAACTATCAGTGCACAAAAATAACTTTTCCGAGTTTTTTGAAAAGTGAAATTACAGGGATTAATCATGCAGTTTGTACTTGGACAGAATTCATTCTAGAGTCAATGGCACTTGTGCCGAAATGCAAAATGTGAGAGCATGTCCAAGAGGAGTGTTCTGTGCTCAAAAAGTATTTGTCTTTACATTCTCCCATTAGTCCAAATACAAAGTCTGGCACTGCATTTCATGACACATGCTGCTCCACTAGCTTGTCTAGAAACAAGCTCTTTTCTGAATATAATATTTTACTCTTACAAGTCAGTATAACAAACAATACAAGGAAAAATATTTTTTTCTGAAAACTTGTTGAATTAAAAATGCTATAGATTTACAAATTCTGCCATATGCCCTTTAAAATTTGTGCATCCACTGTTTCTGTTTTCATTGTTTTCATTATGCCTTATAGAATCTGTTTGTAATGTTTAAAAATGTTCTCTTCCATTAAAAATATGGCTTTTTATCAAATAAAAATGGGAAACCAACTTGCTCTAAAATCCATCTGGTTTTCATTTTCTTATGATCTATAATCAGGAAATCCATTCATATATGGCATATAATTTTTGTGCTTTCAGGTGGATAGCAGAATGAGATGTTCTGCATATGATCACATCTAAATTGATATTTGTCCAGGCAGAGTATAATTTTAAAGTATAGCATGAAGGAAGATTTAATTTGTACATTAGAAATCTTACGCATTTGTTTTGCCTCTGAATGTAAATGAGGCCATTCTCTTTGGTGGATTTGTCTGAAAGTGGGACAGCTGCCTTAGAGCAGGCCACAGCCCTCTTGAATTAAAAGAGTACAGTTTAAAGAACTGGTTTCCATGCAGACTCTTCTTATCTTTAAACCACATGCATGCATGTGGAAAATCTCTGTGCATTGGAAATCTCTGATTTCCAAATGATAGGTTTCTGTATTATTGGTATAAGGTCCATAGTCTTATATAGTGAGGATTTCGGATTCATTCCTGAATCCTCACTATACCAGAAGAATAAGTTTGGTGACTGGAAAGAGGAACTATTACATGGCCTCAAAATGCTAGCAGGCATTAATATGCCATGAACAGCAGAAATCTGCTGGGAAAGAAATTATTGAAGTAGTTCTATAAAAGAATTTGATGTTTTTAAAATATAAACGTAATAATTCATACTATTTCACATTAGTAAAGGTCAGATGAATGTTTCTGCAGAATAAAGCTTTATAAAGAAGCACTCTTTCCCCTAAGCACTATTTCTTAATAGTATATAATATTAAGTAAATCTTATGTAGGAAATGGGAGCTCTTTCTTGTAAGGTGATTTATTCTCTAAAAATCACAACTAGAAACATATAGAGTACAGTGGAATCCATTTTGCTATATATCTTAGGTCTATATTGTTAGAACTGGAAAAAACTCAGTGCTGCTTCAAACAGTTCCATTGCCACTCTCTAAGCAAATCCTTGTCATGTGACAGATTTCACAGACAGTTTTACATCCTGCTGCTAAAATACCTCCTGTATGAAGGTATGACACCAGAGAAACCTTAGTTTTGCTTCAGTTTTTTCTGTTGATCACTTCACATCTTGATTTTCAGTATTCAGTTTGTAGAAGACAAATTTTTTAAAATGCAGTGTGGTTTGTAGTAGAAAATACTGTTGTATATTCAAAATGCCCCTTCTGATTTCACCACCTTTCACCTTTCACCACCTGATTTCACCATCTTTCACCACCAGTAACACATAGCATTAATTAGAGCATAATAGTTAGCTCCTCTATGTTGAGGACAATTGTTCATTTTGAGAAAAAAAGCCTACTGGTACAAAATTAAAAGCCTTTGAAAGCACTCTACTGAATTTGCTTGGAAAGTCTAAAATACATTTCAGAAGTCATTTTGTTTTCCTAGCTGTATGATATTATTAAGGAAATAAATAACAAGATTAACTATGAAAAATATTTTAGTGCAAAATTTCCAAAATCATTTTAATACAGAATATTAGAAGTGATCTGAGTGCTCTTAAATTTTCATTATATTGCAATGTCTTGGAGATCATGATAATAGAAATTGTGAGAAAAAACAAGCCAGACCAGACCAGACCAGTTACTGAAGGTACCTGACAAGTACAGAATTCAAGCAGTTTTTGATAATTTTTCTGTGGCATAATACTAGTGTTCACAGTTCAGGGTCTTCCAAAGCCTGAAGTGGTGTTTTTATATTTAATAGCCTTTCACAAATTTTATTTCCATGGATTTTCTGATTTGATAAATACAAGTGGCTTGCATCCTTGCACTTGAGGATTAAGAACTTGAAAATCTTAGTCAGGCTCAGACACACTTCATTATCCTGACCAGAAGAGCAAATTGCTGTCATGTACTGTCATTTTTATGCCCACCTCATAGACATTATCAAATTTAGTTCCATAATCCATTTATGTTCTTTAGGGCTATAAACACCATTTCACACTGGGGAGGATTGGGTGAGATACTGTGGTCTTCACTGACTTTGGGAAAACAGAGGAAATTTGGGAGTTCCAGAGGACTCTGCCACACTGACTAGTTTATCTTCTCACACAAATTCTAGTCTGTGTGTTGCAGCTTGTGAACAAAAGTTGAGCTCAGAAAAGAAAGTCTTCCATAGCATTTGTTTCTCTGGTATTTATCCAAGGTAAAGGCTTTCTCTTTCCATATTAATTTTCATGCTATTCCCTCTCTATGACTGAGAGAATACTCTTTCCTAAAAAAGATAATGGAAACATTTGCTTGTCAGAAGTGTTCCTGGGGCCTGCATAAGAGAGAAGATGAAAGATATGGTGGTGTTTTCCAGTAAGGTTATTATCTTGCTCCCATTGATTTTAGTGTTTACAGAACCAGATCCAAGAAGTGTAGTGAAAAAGAGCCAAAAGAATTTATGAATCCTTCTGGTCCTCCCGCCACCTTTTGTGGCAATTATAGCCTTGCTATAACTCATCCCTTGTTTAAAACCAAAAAAAAAAATCATGACCTGCAAAGGGCTGAGTCAGAAAAGGCACAATCTTCTGTAGATGTCAAGAAAATATGAAATAGCTTTGACAGTTTTTATGCCCTTAAATTATCTGACTTTCCTGATTCTTGTAAGGCAAATGTCAGATGTTGACTGCTACAAGGGCACAGTATATTGTAAACAAATACAGTGCTGTAAACAAAAAAACAAACAATTACAGTGCTGTAAACAAAATTGTGTCATCTGTTTAATTTCCAGACATCACAGAGACGTCAGCAGCCATGAAAGAAAGCATTTGAAAACCAGTTGTTCCAAATATAGCACATGTTGTATTTTCCTGTAAAGATACATGACACACATATTTACCATGAGTTTTTAATTTCACAGTTTTAGAAGGGCTTAAAAGATACAGTGGACATCATCAAACTTCTCTCTCTTTTTTCCTCTTTTTTTCACCTTAACAGGAAATGGATATGGAAACCCCCGCAACTCACCAGGTCTGCTGGTCTCACCTGGCAACTTGAACAAGAATATGCAAGCAAAATCTCCACCTCCAATGAATTTGGGAATGAACAATCGTAAACCAGACCTCCGTGTGCTTATTCCACCTGGCAGCAAGAGTACCATGCCATCAGTGGTAATGCATTTTCAAAGCTCTTCTTTTTATCTACTTCAGATAAGAGTTATTTAGGAATTTCAGGGCTCACTCAGGAAACTAAATTCTTGATTTTTTTTTTTCCAACTGGGGCTTGACATCAAGCTGAGGATGTAGGCTGAGCCTCTTTATTGTTTCAGGGGGTTTTTTTGAAATCTTATTTACTTCCTACCTTTTGTCTGTTGAGTTGCAAAATAGGAACTATGTCCTCACTGTGCACAGCCTAACCTTCTGCAGTCCCTCTCCCAGTAGCTGGAAGACTCTTTCCTGACACTGTTATAAAGGCTAAATTTAACCCTGAGCATTTCTAGCTTATTATGTTTGCCTTAAATATTTAGCCACACAGACCCTTAGCAGATGGCATATTAACAGTAACAAATTAATTTGAGTCCTATCACTGTGAGCTCCAAATTTGTAATGATAAGAGATATTGATAAGAGAATTTTGTAATGATAATGGACAGAGCAAGAGAAAAAGGAATATGAAATTTCTATATCTCCTGCCAGGACTAGTGAAATTTAGGCAATATACTATGCTAGAAGGCTGAATTGGGAAGGTATTGTGTCCCCATGTCTTGCACTTTCTTTTCAAAAGTTCATCAGCGTAAAGTAAAGCTGTTTTTGAGTAATTTAACATTAAAAGTGAACTTAATTTAAAAAGATAGTAATTTAAGTGATTCAGTTTTCTATTTTATAACAAACATTATTAAAACAACTTCCAAGTTGGCTTCTTCAGCTTGATGCAAAATAAATTAATCGTCAAACTAAAACTGCTCATAAATGTGACGCTACCTCCTAAGTCAAAAGGTGACAAATAGTCCTACACGGCAATACTAAAGTTGATCAAGGCATGACAAGCTGTCTGCATCAAATTATTTATTCCAAGCCCCTTAAAAATTACATTTTCCAAGATACTCTGTGAGTGGTCAGGTACAGCATGACAATATGCAAACAATGGGATAGTGGAAGACAAATGAATTCTTGGAGAAAGTCTTGTGCTGAAAACTGGATAGGTCATTCTTATGATTGAGTCAAACAGTCCATTAAAAGGAGGACAAATAAGAGATCTGTGAGGTGTATTTTTTCCAATATATGCTCAGAAGGTGTTTAATTTGCTGCCTCTATGATATGAAAATATTCCCTAAGCTAAAACCTGCATCCTGGTAAATATTTATATTTACTAATTTTTAACACTCCTTTCCTATGCAATCAGTCTGAGGATGTTGATCTGCTTCTGGTAAGTGGTAATGATGTTCATCTTAATAACAAATTTTAAAAAAACCACAAGTATTCTTATGATGTAGGTAAACTGTTGGTTGGAATAAAATGGAAAATAACTATGTTGTGAACAAATATGTCATGGCAATCTTTTAAATATAGTGATAGAAGGTCAGATGCACTTGTTGCACATATTCAAATTAAGCATGGTAGAATTAATTTTTCTTTTTGGTGATGCATGGAGAGCATGTAAACTTATGTTGTTGAAGATGGCGCAGCCTTATGACAGCCACCTTTTTTGGTGGCTCTCTAGCCCTTTTTTCCTGCAACTCACATAATTAGAGTTCTCTAGTGTAATTCTTACAGTGCAACACCTAGTGCCCTGGATTTAAAAAGTAGTGTGTAACTGCTGTACAATCTAACAGCCTTGAAGGGTTTTTTTACTGCAAAAAAACAAACTAGTCTGGGCTCCATCCACCGGTAATAGTTCAGTGTTCAGCAGTCTGTGGGTGCACCTCACTTTCAAAACCCAGGAGAGCTGGGTTTGAGGGTTTTTCTTTTGCTTTTTGGGATTAATTGGGTTTTGTGGTAGGTTTTCTTTTCCGTATGAGTGAAAAGGAAAACAATGGGAATAGAGGTCATATATGTCTTCAGTTTTTCACACGATCTGTTCTACTATCCACAATAAAATCAGTCTTACTAGTTCAGTTACCTAGGAGATACCGATGTAATGGGTTACTATGGTGACAACTGGTCTCTTGAAAGCTTGTAAATGATAGGGTTGGCAGAGTTCATCAAAGCCACATGTTAAATGATTAATTTCTAGAAATTTGTAATAGCCTGTATTTCTCATGCACAAAACATTCCCAGGAAGCAAATACACTCAACTGATTTAAAACTGGTCAATAATATGTTTATTTTACTTACCTTAAAAGAATCAAAGGATAAATAACTCCCAGTCTGCTCAGTCATTGGCTACTCCAGTGGTTTCCGTAGCAACTCCTACTCTACCAGGGCAAGGGATGGGAGGATACCCATCAGCCATCTCAACAACATATGGTACTGGTAAGTATGGGTGCAGAATGCAAAGGATGGGGAAGGGAGCAAGGTGCAGATGAGTGTTTATCTCAGTATAAATGAATTAGCTAATGTTCTTTGGGAGAAACTGAAAAGAAAAATTCATAGCTGTTATGCCTTTGCACTACATTTGCTTATTCTGTACCTGTCACTAACTTCAGATGTATCTATTTCAAAGTTAGCTGATTTGCTTGAAGTAAAACTGATTTGGTAGCTTTATTTCATTGGCTTTAACAATGAACAAACAAAACCACACCAAAAAAAAAAAAACCAAAAAAAAAAAAAAAAACCACCCAACAACCTTAAAACAGTTAACAGTTCTTAGTCTTCCTTGGATATAATTTCATGCAGTTGAGTGCACCATGCTAAAGCCATGAGGGTAGTGGAAATAAGCAGCTTCACTATCTCCAACCAGAGTTCAGTAACTCTGCTGGCTATCACAGCTTCCTACCTGGGAGGGTGCAGAAATGAAGCCTCAAGGCATCTTTACAGTTCCTGTTGTGTATTGCTGCTGTGCAGAGTGCACACCGTGACATAGATCCAGCATGTTTTGAGAACACATACATTGTTCAGAAGCAGGCTGCCTGCTGGCTTCTGCAAGGAAGACTGTAACCAAAATATTATATTTTCCAAGTCTTTCTGACAGTCCTTTTGCAATTATGGTGAATTTACAGGCTAAGAATGCTTTAGATCTGGCAGACCCAGTAAAACGTGCTAGATTACAGAATAATTATTAGTGCGCTATTTGCTCCCAAGTCAATGAGTTGAGCGAAGAGGAAGATTTTCTTTTTCTGCTGCAACTTAATGTGATTGGTGTAATTAAAATTAAAAGGCTTACAAAGTGACAAGAAAATTACTATGCTAGTTGTTGTTTAATTGCTTCCTCTTTAATTCTCTCTTAATTTTTGTCTTTCTGTTTTCAAATCTAGAATATTCTCTGAGTAGTGCAGATATATCATCTCTCTCTGGTTTTAATACAGCCAGTGCTCTTCATCTTGGTTCTGTAACTGGCTGGCAACAGCAACACCTACATAATATGCCACCATCTGCCCTCAGTCAATTGGGGTAAGCAGTGCTTTCTTTATTTTACTGTCCTACAGCAACTTCAGTCTCCCCAGTAATTCCAAATGTGAAATATGTCAAGATAACATACCAGAACATAACTACTGTGTGTAAAATCTAGATTTTCCAAAACTGGAGCAATGTAATTCATGGAAAGTTTGCTTGGGAGCTGCAATGAAATATTTTGCATTCATGGCATTTTCTCAGTAGTGTATTGTTCATGTTTTAGTTTTTATTTCTTTAAATAGGATTTTATTTCACTACTAAAACCATACACCTATATTGTTCTGATGCCATATTTATTATTTATGCTTTTAATTTCCAGTTACTGTTGCACAAACATTTACAGTAAGAAAATTTTTTAGATATTTTAATAAAGTAAGATTACATAATTAATTGACATGACATTAAGCCTTAACCTTATATAATAATCACATACTTCCTTCTGCTCAACTCTGAAACTCAAGTTTCTTTTATTTGGAGATGATTTTTATGATAAAATAGCATGATTAAGCCAAAGAACTGTAAGCTTACAAAACTCATTGTGATGTGCCTGTGCTGAGGAGTACAGGTATTCCTGCCCTCTAGTGGCTAATTTTACAATATTTATTCAAGTTTCAGAGAAACACAGCGCTCAATCATCTCAGGATCTTTAGAAGTGTGAAAATTCACGCAGGGAAATCACCTGAACAAGAAACCTCTTGGCTCATTTAAGTGGACAGGTGTACAATTTTCAAATATCTTGATATCTACAATTTCTATTAAGACCATAGGTATACACTAGTGTGGCATAAGAGCCTAATGTATGGTTAGACATGTTGGAATTTTAAAAGGTTTAGCTATAAAAATAGAAGCTGAAAACAGCAGAAGTGTATTTATGAGGAAAAAATTTAATTCATATGCATTTGAAAGGAAAATCTTTTTTTTCAGGAAGAGGTCTTCCACATATGCACTTTCTTTTTTTGAGATTGTTGCCATAGTGTGGAAAAATTTAATACTCTAAATGTGCCTTCAAAATTCTCCTTCTACTTTATCTGACCATTTTTTGTAACTTATTTTAATGTCTTTACCATGTTGGTAATTTGGGTTTTTAAGGAGAGCAATAAAAATGTTTCAAAGGAAACAAACTTTTTAAAGCTCATTTTGGTATAAATAAGTATATATAGATACAAATGTCATAAAAACATACAACTGAAATACTTGTGCTAGAAAAAAAAATTAGTCTTAATATCTTTCTCTTATACTTTTCTTTGTGAGTTTGCGCTACTTCTGGGCCAGCATTCAGACTTACTGTGCAACTAAAATCATAAATTCTGAAATAAATTGAAATCTCACATGTTAGGTATCACTGTATAAACAACTGGTACCATACCAAAGAATATAATAAGGCTATTTGGTTAGCAAAAAAAAGAAGTATAAACGAACTCCTAAACTAATTACATGCCTCTTCAGATATGTCACACATCGTGATCTGTTTCTGATTTGTATCACAGAATGTCAAAGTGTAATGTCTGTGGCTGTGGAATACATTCTGAGTTGCTACTCTCATTATTATTACTCTTTCAGTGACTTGTAAGTGAATTCAGCTATGAAAGCTGCTTCACAGACAGTTCTGGAAAAGTCTTCTATCACTGCAGAAAATCACACTCACTGAGTTCTACATGGAAGAGCATCTGTTTTAACTTTTGAGTTAATTGAAAAACTTGAAATTCTGTAGAACATATCCAGTGTATATCAACCTGATTTAGAATTTGTAAAAAGATTTTAAAAATGAAACAAAATTACAGTCATCTTCAGATACTTAAGAAAACACATCCAGAAAGGTTTTGACAACATAAATCTCAGTACTTAGTGGGGTCACATACTGAAAAGGTTTGGCAGTGAGATGACTGTTGTTACCTATACAGTTAAGCTATAAAAACCTGTGAGAAAACAGTTAATGGGAGACACATTCCAGGTCTCCTTCAGGTTTTGTTTGTCACCAAAGTCTAGAGGTGAAAATCAGCTCTGCTTCCTCAATGCATGACAAGAATGTGATTAGTAATAGAATAAGATAGGATTAGATGCGTTATCTTCCTCCAGATAAGTCCTCAGCAATTTCAGTAGCACTATCAGAACCATATTGGAGGTAATTGGAGACCTCTGCAACTAAGCTCTTCGTTCTTCAAGCTGACTGTGCAATTAGGAGCCACACTGGTGCTGGTGGACTAGAGGGCAAATATATGAAGACATGGGAGTAGTTCACATTCCCTGTCTACGCAGCTTTTGCCTTTCTGCCAAGCCTGGTGAACAGCAACAATGTAGACCCTGTTTAGACATGCAGAAGCTGTTTAGACCTGACTGGGACATTAAAACAAGTCAGACTTTTCAACTTTTTGGGTTAAAAAACAGAATAGTATTTTCATGGTCTTTTAACTGCATCTACATCTGGAAAAAATACACACAAAAATTCTGCTGAAAATCAGTCCTTCCCAAAGCTTTGGGATTTCGCCTGAATAGTATGTTAAAGTCTCTTACTGCTTATTTAACATGTACCAAAGAGACTACTAGAAGTAAACTGCTGATAACCAGAAGGGAAGTCCTTTCCAAACATCATAATAAATTATCAAAATATTTTATGCACAAATCCATAGTATGGAATATGTTCTCTTGCATCCACATTTCCTAGCCTAAGAGACAATCTTTTCATCTAAAAGTAACATCCACAGGTGAAGTTTTCACTTTCCTAAAATATGAATGCAGGGAGAGAAACAATATTTAATCTAAAGGTGCTTCAGTATAGACAACTATTTATGTAAGAGAAGTTTCTCAAAACTTCTACCTACATGAATAAAAAGTAGTCCAAATGTATAATGTTGACTTGTTCTGTGACCCTTATATAGAAAGCTTATTACTTAGCTACAATTATTTTTATTAGATGATAACTATAGCTAGACAAAGGAAAATATTGTCCATTAAACTATTTTTACTGAAAAATTTGGAAACAGGTACATCATGTTTAATGAATTTGTATCAGTTCTACCAATTTCCTTCTTTTGAATAAAAAACCTTATGTATTTCAGAATGAGCCTTTTTTTTTCACATGCCACTATTATAAGATGTTTAAGTAACTCAGTTTCATGCTATTTTTTTTAATTCCTGTTTAAAAAGTGTAATCTTAACATGTGAGAGCTAAGCAAAATGTCTTGACAAAATGTCTTCATATTCTGCTTTTACATTGATTAGAAAACTATAAAAAAATAATTAAAACCTCTTAGCTTTCACCTAAAAAAAAAAAAAAATAGAGAGGGAAGAAGTTTAATTGTTAGTAAGTCAAAAATATCTTCTCCTAAATGCAAATTAGCACATAACCATGAATTTTCAATGGTCCTTCACATGTATTTATTGGGGGAAATTATATGAAGTGAGGAAGTACACTGATTTAGGGAAGTAAGAGTGGGTGTACAAGAAAAGGCGCATGAAGCTACCTTCCTTCTTTTTTTCTCATTCTAGATTTTCTCATTTCTGATTTTTCTCATTCTAGAAAAATCTACATGGTCAATATTCATGTCCTCACTCATCACTTACTCAGACCTGCACTTCTACCTGTGCATGCTGAGTTTCAATACCATTTGGAGAATCAGACAGAAGGAGATGCACACAGAAGTGTCATCATCCCAATCTCATGGCACTGTCTTGCTCCCCCACTTCTCATACAGCAGAGCTGTGTAGATGTACCATGTGGAAACCAGATAAAGCAGCATTTCTCCATGTGGCATCATAATCTGAACAAAAATCAAATTTTAACTACACTGGCCTCAAGAGGGACTGGTGTGCCAAGTTAAGATATTAATTTTCTTCATTGTCCCCATAAAATGAAATGTTTTCATACAATATGTGGAAAAAGGTGATGATGTCCGCAAAAGTGAACTGCCCATCACCTATTCAGTGCATGTAATTGTACACAAACCTTTGAATAATTTTCTTTAGTTTCTCACTAGTTTTTCCATATCCAAAACATGTTTGTTTACCAGGGAATTTAGTGAAGGTTTCACATAATTACAATAGGGCATGCTTGGGCCCAATTCATGTAATTATATGAAGCAACAGTGTAAAATATGCATTGATACATTTAAGTGCAAACAGCTGTTTCTACACCAACACATACCTATACAGGAAATTAAATCATTTTGCAGCAGACAGAATTCTCATTTCTTATTGTGTACCTTCTATTCTAAATAGAGGTCAATCCTTTGTTTAGAATACAGATTTAAAGATTGCATCTAAATACCTATTATTTCGCTATTCACATGTATGTGTAACAGTACATTTCCCATGCAGATTTAGCTTAGATGAGCTTCTCATAAAAATGTTTCAGAAAACGTTAATGAAGTATTAAGGAAATTATAGTCAAATAAAAATATATTAAGTTTCAGAAATACTTTCAGCAGCCAAAGGCTATATTTGCAAAGAAAAAAAAGGTGAATCAAAATACACGCTATAATTTATTTATATTGTTTTCATATTTTTTTTAAACCTCAGAAATTCAGTCTTGACCTGCCAGAATTATTTCTTATCCTCTTATAAATATTTTTTAAAAAAAGGTGGTTCAAAATTCAAATAAACCTGAAGAGCTGAAGCATTTATAAAAGTGCCATTAATTTTTATGCCAGGTTATTATGTAACACCACTGCTGAATCACAAGGAATCTGTAGAGAAGTCTGTAGAGATGCATTCTCATACTCACTTCTGAGGCATTATTAAAAAGGCAATATTCCAGTATTGCAATACCAGCTCTGTATCATTGAAATTCAGTTTATCCCTCTGGATTTGTTTCTTTGGATGCTGTCACACAGTAGAATGCCAGTATGTTCCATGAGAACAAATTTGACTGAATATGGTTATTTTTGTCTATTTTTATCTTTTTAAATTATCCCGAGCTTTGCAATGTGGCATGTTACTTGCTCAAATCAAACACTTCTAAATCAATCCTCTAGGCTCCACCATTCTTTATTATAGAAATTTCAGGTTTAGCTATAAGCTTGGCATGTAACATCATATGTAATCTTATCATACTAAACTGACAAACTATTTACTCACATGAAGCTCTAGAATCTCCTAAGCAACACAAAAATAGTCACTGAAAACAGAAAGAAAAAAAAAAGAAAAATAAAAAGGCAGAAATGTACATTTGATTCTTATATTTACAGTTTCTTATATGTGTTAATTTAATATTTACAGAAGCAATACAAAGAAAATATCCTCTTTGAAAAAAGAAAAAGGTTACATTTTTTACTTTGAAGGCTATTACTCATGAACTCTGTAACTTAGGAAAGGGGTCATTGCAGATTTGACAAATTTGTCTGTAGAGGAAGGAAGGATTGATGAAAAATTGGAGGTAGAACATGCTGTTTTGTTTTCTAACATCCATTCATTTTTACACACTGCAGCAATTCCTGATAAAATCAGAGGATATTATTCAATATTGAAGCCATACAGTTTTATTTTAAATCTGTCAGAAGAAAAAAAAGTTCATCAAAGTAGTAGTAAATGTTTAAATAATACTCAGCTCTCAGTTAGTGACACCCTAGGGAAAGTAGAGTATTCCAGTAAAGTTAAAAGTCTACACTAAACTTATCTGTGTCATTCTTAGAAATTCCTTCCAAATCCCAATATTACACCTTATTGTATTAAAAATGCCTGCATATCCCTTTAGGTTTAAAATCTTCTGAAGTCAAGTGTTGCCCCTGCTGCCTTCCTACCCCTGTATAAATAAATACGCATTAATAGAAGTCTTGAAATTATGTTTCTTGTGTAAGACACTAACTTCAGCTTAGCAAATGGTCCCTGAAGTGGAACATAATGGGAACTGCATTTTGGAAATTCTGTTTTAATAATGAAAAGTCAGGTTTTGCCAGGAGGTGGTGCTTTTGTACAAAATGTTGTGCAGATGAAAGTAATCTCATTTCTCCCATAAAGTGTGTTCTCAGTATTCACTCTCCTCCCTGCCGGTTTCATCTTCCTCTGCCACTACCTACCCAAAAAATGCACAAAAAAGGAAGTAAAAAAGAAAAAAAAAAGAAAAGAAAAGAAGAGAAAAAGCTTAGAATACTTAAGTAGCATACCTTTGAATAAGTTTTAGAATAGCAGTCTGTCTGCTAGTAGCATCCTTTGAGCTTGGCTTTCCTATGGGCAAATAGTGTAGTCCTCTGTTGTCTTCTACTACTCCTCATAGTCCCTTTTGTAGTTTATCCAAATGCATTCTGGATTGAATCATGGATTTATGGATTTAAACCCTAAAATCATATCTAAATCCTTGCCTACCTGTGCTATTTTGTTGATGTCAATGTTAGGACTACTAATTTCAATTCAATTTTGAAAAGCATAAAAATTACCAGACCAAATTTTCTTTGTTTCTGTTTTGCATCTGAAGTCACATGTCAAAACAAACCACAATAAAAATAGTTGTGTGCTTTCAAATTAATTGGATTAAACCCAGCAGAAAGTCCATGCTTCCCATCTCAGCCAATGTAAACACACACAAGTATTTGTTATTCAGAAACCTGAAGGTGGTTCCAACAATGCAAAGGCTCACCTTCCTAAATTTGTGATGACACTTGATCTTAAGAAAGAAGGAGACTGAAAGTGAGACTTCTCTCTAAACTGAGGGCTTGTCCCCCTAAAGCTGACCACATCTGTTGTGGTGCTGTCATCTCCTGGAATTCATGAATTCTGCTCAGACAACAGTCCCCATGATCTCTGCATGTGCTGATCCTGTGCGAGCCTTTACAGTGGTGTTTCATGTGAGTGTTTGTGCATATCTGGGGGCTCCATGCCTCCTCCATGTGTAACTGAGTTTCCTTTCCTCCTACAGAGCTTGCACTAGCACTCATTTATCTCAGAGTACAAATCTCTCCCTGCCTTCTACTCAAAGCCTCAACATCAAGTCAGAACCTGTTTCTCCTCCTAGAGATCGTACCACCACGCCATCGAGATACCAACAGCACACGCGCCATGAAGCGGGGAGATCTCCTGTTGACAGCTTGAGCAGCTGTAGCAGTTCCTACGATGGAAGTGACCGAGAAGATCACCGGAATGAATTCCACTCCCCCATTGGACTCACCAGACCTTCGCCGGACGAAAGGGAAAGCCCCTCTGTCAAGCGCATGCGGCTCTCTGAAGGATGGGCAACATGATAACATTATAACCTATTACTTGAGATTTTTTTTCTTGCAGTGTGTGTGTGCTATACTTTAATGGGAGGGGGGAGGGGGGAAGGGTCGATATACATTATATGTGCTGTGTGTGAAAAAAAAGTCAGGTACTCTGTTTTGTAAAAGTACTTTTAACTTGCCTCAGTGATGCAGTATAAGGATAAACAGAAATGCTGAGATAAGCTTAGCACTTGAGTTGTACAACAGAACACTTGTACAAAATAGATTTTAAGGCTAATTTCTTTTCACTGTTGTGCTCCCTTGCAAAATGTATGTTACAATAGATAGTGTCATGTTGCAGGTTCAACGTTATTTACATGTAAATAGACAAAATGAAAACATTTGCCAGAAATGGCAGATCTTTACTGAGAGAGAAAGCAGCTGTTATGCAACATATAGAAAATGTACAGATGTTTTGACAGATCCAGCAGTTGGGTGGCCATGAATTGATGCTAGAAAGAGACTGAGTCACCTAACATACTGAAAATGCTCACAAACATGCAGGCATTTTGTTAGAGTATGGTGCTCAGTTAAAAAGGATCAAACCATTTCAAGAGGACCATACTTATAGAAATGTTGAGTTCGAGGGCTGACATACTTAATTTCAAAAATTCTGGGTCTGCATCACTTATTAAATAAAAAAGTATAAAAATATGTACATTACATTTAGCTTATTTTCATATTAAAAAGTAAGACAGAGTTTGCAAAGCATTTGTGGCTTTTGTAGTTTCCTTAAGCCAAAATTTGTTCTTTTTCCCTTGATAGCTTTGCTAATCTTTTAAGCAGTCCTGAAGAAACAAACAAAATGACTTTCTGTATAGAAAGCACTACCCTAAGCCTTGAGCAACTCCATGCTTTGCTAATCAAGATAACTGTTTTCTCTTTGCAGAAGTTTTGTTTTTGAAATGTGTATTTCTAATTATATAAAATACTAAGAATCTTTAAAAAAAAATCTGTGAAATTAACATGCTTGTGTATAGCTTTCTAATATATAATAATTATGGTAATAGTTTTTGTTCTCTTGATAGTGGGGAATTATATTTGTGCAGTTGCACATTTAACTATTTTCTTTTGGTTTTCTTTTAGTGGGTATACATTTTACAGGTCCAAGTCAGCTGCTGAAAGACTGATCTGTAAACAATTAGACTTTACCCATAGTGTTACAACTTAAATCATTTTAATACAGTATTTTACAATCAGCTGGGTGAACTGCCATCCGTTGTATATACTGATTAGTTCTTTCATGCTGTTTTGTGCATTGTAACAAGTTAAGGGCCCTTCTATTATGTAATGTCCTGCGTATCTTGTAGTTTTCCATGGGTTAAATTACAAAGTGGCGTAACTTGGCCCTTTCTTATTAATGAAGCTGGTATTCTGCCTGTCTGAATTGAATGTGCAGCTCTAATGGCTGTAAGCTACGTGAGTGCAGGTAAACATGTGACGAAGCAGCAGGGGGAGGCAAAGGGAGGGATCAGCACGAAAGTGCCTGCTGGATAGATTCCTCCCCTCTCTCACAGACATAAAACTCTTAAAGATATTATCAGTTAAAGGGTGGTTCAAAATCAGTTGATTTTACACAGGCAATATTGGCCAGCTGGTTGGTTCTCATGGACCTCTGCAGTCATATCATCTCACAGTGGGCATGTTGTTGAGCAACGCTCCCTGTGTCTTTACACCAGACTAGCACTTGCTTCAGCACACAGCATCCACATTTTCTCCAGCCTCATATTGTTCCTTTGACTAAGATAGCTTGACCAGAGGGAATGTGTCATTTTCTTCAAGTCCCTCTTTGTCCCTCTTGTCTGTTAGAAAAAAAAATGTATATTCAAGTGTTTCAGTTTCATCTTTCTGTTGGAGGGAAAAAGTGTTTAAGCAAAATGTTAGTGTCATAGTAAAAGAGTAATATTTCTCCTTTTTTAAGAGTCCTTCTAGGCCTCAACTACTTACATTGACATTATGATGAAAAATACAGCAGCAACAGCAAAGAACTTTGAAGTGAAATCCACACTCTTTTTCCACCTATCCATGCAGTTGCTGTGCACTGCTCAACGATGGAGTGTACCTCTCTGTAGTAGAGAATGATGATCAGACTACAGTGTGCATTAGGACATAGACTCTTCACTTACCATGACTTTACAGAAGCCTGCCTTACAGGCACTTTCAGCCATGCAGGGGCTAGTACATAATGTGGAAACTCTTTAAGCAGAATACTGTGCTACTAATGCATTCATCTTACCTCGTGTAGCAAACTGCAGGGTAAACAAAGATACGCATGTTTTAAAAAACCCAAAAAATAAATTTAAAAACCCAAAACAAAACACAACAAAAGAAAAACAAAAACAAAAAACAAAAAACAAAAAAAAAAAAAAAAACACAAAAAAAAAACCAACAAAAAAAAAGAAGGTAAAATGGGGCCCATAATTAATTTTACAATACAAAAACCATTTTCCTCACCCTCAGATTAACCTGTACTCATATTCTCTTTTGAGAATTTTAAACTTTAGTGTGTCAAAAATATGCAAATGTATCACAAATATACCTTGTCATTTCAAGAAAAAATACAATTTTATTGGTATAGCAGTAGAAACTTCTCAGTGGGGAAGGGGATTTGGTCTATTGATATATTAAGAATAGCCATATTAATAGTTTACCTTGCGATTTGCCTCAGCAACACATGAAAAAAATGAATCATTTAATGAAGATGCAGTGTTTAATATCACTGCAAGTAACTAAGCAAAAAGTAGCATGAAAAGTATTGCCTGGGCAATTTATATTAACTCTGACAGTGATTTTTTGTATAAACACAAGTAGAACTGAATCACATGGAAATAAATGCCAGTTAGCCCTCTTGTTCCTGCTGCAGAAGGCAACTAACTTATACTGGCAAAATTGTGGGGGATAATGCATATTTGCAAACTGATCTAATGATAAGAAGCACAACTTTGATTGTGAAGTCACTTTCTGTAAACTATAACTGTCTACCTTTCTTGTTCCTTTATCTGTATCTTACAATTTATTGTATTTGCAAAAGCTAATTTGGGTTTATTGTGTGATTCCTTTGTATTTAAGGAGCTTGGGGCAGAGCCCTGAAAGAGTATTAACATTTACTTTACCTTAACCCATGCTATATGATGTTTTAGGCAACATTCTTAATTGTAAGTTCAAACACCTGAAGTGGCATTCTAGACATCTGCAAGTATTGTTATAGCTAAGTTAATCTCTATTAAAAGGTGTTGTCAGTTAGTGTTTAATTGCTGGTGACAATTATATGATATACTCTATCTGCACAACATATATATTGTATGCATTGAGCCATTCACAGTAAAGCTTTGTTCATTTCAGTGTCTCTCAAAAATTGTGTTTTATAACAAAATGGCTTATATTTTTCCCAGAAGAGGAATTTAGCAATTTTTAATGACTAGTGTAAAAATTACCTGTTGTCCTCAGATCTTTTTCAGGTAAAGCTAGTATAAGAATAGAACTCACAGGCTGTTTCCAAGGATGTCAACCCTTTTGTATTGTATTTGCAATCCTATATACCCACTTTTATCTGTAGTCTAACAGCTGTTTGTTTTCCTTCTTCCTTCACCTTGAAGGTAAATGCTTTGTAATTTTTTAAAAGCCACATGAAACCTCAATAAAGGCTGTTGCCTAAACATGGCATACTTCATCTGTTCCTGTTTGTGCCACCTGCTGTGATGTTGTCAGTTATACGGCATTAATTTCCTGCCACTACAGGTCTCTTGAAGGACTGATGGAACACTGCTGTCTGTTAGAATGCTTCAGACTGTAGATGTAATAAAAGGCTTTTGTTAAATATTTTAACCAAAGATGTGGAGCAATCCAAGCTTTGAGCCACAGACTTTCTGCATCAAAAGTATCCATTTGATTATTTTCGTAGTCTCATGTTGCATTTCTACCTTCCCTTCTCATACCTCAGACTGATCCATACCTCTATTTGATTAAAAAAAAAAAAAAAAGTCATTTTAAGACATTAAGTCATTTAAGAAAGTCATTTAAAAAAAAAAATCAATTAAAAATGCAGTACTAAAATCTTCTATGTATTTAATATCAGACCTGGGTTACTGCAGGCATTACACTTGGATTGCTTCAGATGGTTTGTTGTATCCTTTTTTTCTTTTTTTTTCTTCTCTTTCATGGGGATTTGCTTCCATAAAATAATGGTGATAACAAAATAGCTTGTAAATGGGAGCATACAAGCATTTGCAACAAATATTAAAGTAGAGGCTCACAGCGGCATAAGCTGGACTTTGTCGCCACTAGATGACAAGATGTTATAACTAAGTTAAACCACATCTGTGTATCTCAAGGGACTTAATTCAGCTGTCTGTAGTGAACAAAAATGGGAAAATTTCAAAAGATTCTCCGGCTGAAAATAAGGTATAATTTGTATTTTGCAGACAAATCAGTAAAGTTACTGGCTTTCTTAGTGATATGGTGTCTGTTGTGCATTTTTTTATTAATTTAAATAGTGTTCAGTTTTCATTGTTTCACAATGTAACACATGAAAGAAGCAGTGCTTTAAATACCAGCAGCTGTCTCAATTTTACCAATCACTTGTGCTTGCTTTGATAGCTAAGCAATATTTTCTGGCACACATCATCCCACCAAGTCAGGAAAATCCCATCACTGCTCTGGAGTCAGTGTCATTTGGAATGTGGTCATCTGAATCTGTCCCTAGCAGAGGAGGTAGGTGAAACAATGCCTGGCTTTCAGGTGCTTAGTTAACTGACAGGGAATCAAAACCCTCATGTATACATGTCCCGTGAATTCTACCCATGGGGACAATCATGCAAAAACCCTCAAAAAAAAAGTATGTACTGTGTCAAAATCATATGTCATTGGATCTGCACTTTGTCTCTATATGCTCTCTAACAAAACTGCATAAGGACTGTCAGAATTAATCTATGCACTTTTCTATAGTTTTTTCTCAGAATGTTTGTTTGCTTGTTTTTCATTTGTTTGTTTGTTTGTTGGGAGTTACAGGGGGTTTTCCAACTAATATTTATAGTTTCAGAGTTTGAGAACAAAAGAATCACTTTATTTCAAAAAGATGTGTTTTTACGCCAGAAGCAGACAAGCTATTAAAAAGCTAAGGTGCTTGGTGAATGTTACAGTTTCAAAAATAACTTTATAAAACCTGGTTTTTAAATAGGTTTCTGAAAGAAAAGAGCTGTGCTGTTCCTTTTCATGACAATTTCTTTTAAGAGAAATATTGTTAGCATTGCAGTGTTGGACACTGCCTTGCAATGAGATGCTAAAACTAAGTGTCATTGATTTTACAGAATATATTTTGTACAAGTAAATAGTTTTTTTTCATCATTGGCCAGGATGAACAAAATATTTCTGAAAATGCGGTTGTCTTAAAAGATTTATCTGGGAGTCTTCCGTCTTGCAGTCATCTATCTGATTAATACTGATAATGCTATACCGGCATTGGAAAAGAAATTACTTAGAAAATAGAGTCTGTTATATACTTTGTTCTGTTATTTGTTTCTCTGGAGAAAAATAAGCATAAACTTCCTGATTACTTTGCTTTAAATTTTATGAACTCTATTTATAAACAATTTTTAAAATTATGTTGAAATCGGGGGGGGGGGGATGTTAATAATTCTTTGAATAACGTTTTTCACTTAAGGTTCAGATGTCATCCTAAAAAGCAATTATGAAGTGTACAGTCTGAAATAATAACTAATATCTTTCCACGCAGAGTGTTTACTTCCCCTGAAAATTGTTTTCTTATTTTCTTTAGCAAAAATCAACATATCTTTGTAGAACTGGGCAACCATGCTGAGACAGTTGACACATATGTTTATTAAGGAGACCAAGCCAGCAGTGTGGCTCATTCATACCTTACCCTTTCTCAAACACAATGCCTGTATTTCCAGAGGTAAAATACTGGGAATGAGAGAATCCAAGGAACAGCAGGGAGGAATGATTTTAAAATAATCAGATTGTTAAGTCTACAAGCAGCAAAAATATATTGTTCCTCTCTATTGACAGATATAGCCTGTTCCTCCTTAATTCACTGGAAATTCACCAATGCAGCAAGGTTACCTGCTCCACCTAAACTGATACATGGAACTCCAGTTTACTGGAGTCCCTGATTCTGGGACATTTAGACTGCTTAGTCATAGGGCTACATTTTTTGTATTCATGTACCATACTTAATGTTTTACACTAAGTATTCAGAGCACCTGTAATAGCTAAATCTATACTGCGTTCTCTGCAGTCCATCTAGACACATCCAAGGTAACTCTGTTGTGAGCAGATATTTTGGTTAACAGTAATCTTTCTACTGCTGGTATTTCTTCCTCCTCTTCCAACAGAAACTGTAGAATGCTTTGGTTCCATTCTGGATCCCCTTGATTGCTAAAGACACCTGAAGGCTAACATGAGAACACTTGTGTGCATGCTGAATTTCAATGGAGTTCCTTACTTCTGAAAGGTGTAAAGTGTGCTGTTCTGATTGTCCTTTCTGTCCTCTTCTTTGTGTTTCTTTGTTCTTCTGTGGTTTGTTCACAGTCTGCCCAAAGTTTTCAGCTTCAAGTATCTGTATTTATCTGGATGATGATCCATAAGTTCTTTTAGGTTACAAAATGTTGCCTCCTTCTAGGAGCAGGGGTTGATCACCATTAGCTGTGCAGATTTTACTTCTCTGACCAAAGTAATAAAATAATGTAATAGAAGACTTAACTGCGTAGGAAAATTTAGAAGTGATAAAACTTAAAGGTAGTGTGTTTGCATTATAAATATAATTGGTGTAAATTTGATTTTTGTTTTTACAGCACATTGCATAGCTAATTATTTTCTGCAGAGTTGCGAAGGATCAGGTTTTCAGACTCACAGTGAAAATGCAGAATCCTGAGAGGCCCAAATCGCTTTTCTGCAATGCTTTACACTATGGTAGCAATTTTTTAGGGAGGTGAAAGTTAGAAAATATCATTATGACATCCTTTATAGCAGCATTTTTACCGTGGGAAACCTTCATGTAATACATATTACTCTGCCTGTTCTGAATACAGAATAAGATGGGCAGGAGACAAATTTGCTTGAAAGGAGAAACTACATAAAATATTAATTTTCTGCTTGGAAAATACATGAATGAGAGAGTATACCCTTATGTGTGAATGATATGGACGTAGCAGATCTGCAGGAAAATACCATGTGCTCTCTCTCAGAAACACTGGAAGCACAGGATATATGCAAAGAAACCATCACACACACGTTCACAAGGGCATATGATGAGCATGTTATAATCAATTAAGTAGTGGGATTTTTGGCCATAAAGGATTGTGGAAGTAAACATCCTGGGTAAGTTCATAATGGTTTAAATAAGTTAAAAGGGCATAGTTGCATTTCTCTTGTTACGTGGATACACTTACAGTATCCAGCTAGAATAAAGGAAAATTTTCTATGGCTTCTTTTTGGAAATGAGAACAATTCTAGGGAATAACTCATGTACACTTTTAATTTTGTATGCACTTCCCTCTGAAAATCCCCTACACACTACTGTCAGGGAAAAGATAATGAGCTAAGTGGACTTTTCTTCTGATATGGCAGTTCTTGTCTAGACATCACATAAAACCATCCTAATTTTCCCTGCAAACCCTTTTTTTCAGATTAAGCATATTGATTTTACAGTGCTGGAAATTAATACAGTATAAATTAAGCATTCAGTACACATAATTAGCCAAGAGCTAAATCTGTCACTTAGCATGGCTTTGCTTTTGGAGGAACTCTGGGGAATAAAGGAGAATTCATGACCTTTGGAAGAAGTGGCAGGCAACTCAAGAAGAATACAAGGTGTCATTAGGTCATGTAGAGAAAAAATTAGAAAGGAAAAAGTTCAATTAGAATTCAATCTGGTCAATCACTGGTGTGAAAGATGTTTAAAAACTATTTTTATAATACATCAACAACTAAAGGAGAGACAAAGAAAATCTCCATGCTTTATTGAACACAGAGGGGGACCATGTCAGCAAGGACAAGATAGAGGCTGAAGTTCTTAATGCCTTCTTTTCCTCCAACTTTAACAGTTAGACAGTTATTCTTAGGGAAACCAGGCCCCTGACAGGGGGAGAATAGACAGGAAGCAGAATAGACCCCTTGTCATCCAAGAGAAAGTAGTTAGAAATTGCTGAGCAATTTAGGTATTCCTAAGTCTATGGGATCAGATAGGTTTTGTCCAAGGGTACAGAGGGAACTGGTAGAAAAGCCTTGCAAGACACTGCCCATCATTTATCATCTGTCCTGGTTAACTGGGGAGGTCATGGATGACTGCAGGTTGACCAGTGTGATGTACATCTCCAAGAAGGGCTGGAAAGATCTGAGGAACTACCAGCCTGTTAGCCTGACCTCTGTGTCCAGCAGGGTTAGGGAGCAGACCACCTGAGTGCAATCACTTGGCACCTGCAGAACAACTAGGAGATCAGCAGCAGGGGCTTAGGAAAGGCAGGTCCTGCCTGACCAACCTGATCTCCTTTTTTTACCAGGTCACTTACCTGGTGGATAAAGGAAAAGCTATGGATGCTGTCTACACGGACACAGCAAAGTCTTCAAACTGTCTGTGACTACATTCTCCTTGAAAAACTGGCAGCCCATGGCTTGGACAGGTGAACTCTTGTCTGGGTTAAGAACTGGCTGGATGGTTGAGCCTAGAGAATGGTGGTGAATGGTGCTGTATCCAGCTGGCTGTTGGTCACCAGTGGTGTTCCCCAGGTCTTAGCATTGGGGTCAGTCCCGTTCAATATTACCTGGACACAAGGACTGACTCCACCCTCAGAAAGTACACCACCAAATTGTCTGGCAGCATTGATCTGCTGGAGAGTAGGAAAGCTCTATAGATGGATCTGGACAGCCTGGACTGATGGACTGAGGCCAATGGTACAAGATTGACAACGCTAAGGGACAAACCTTGCACTTTGGCTACAATAACCCCATGCAGTGCAACATGCTGGAGAAAGAGTCACTGGGAAGCTGCCTTGGAAAAGAACCTGGGGGTGCTGGTCAACAGCGAGAACAGAATGTTTTGTACCCAGGAGGCCAAGAAGGCCAAAGGCATCCTGGGTGGTATCAGTGTGGCCAGCAGTACAGTGACTGTCCCCCTCAGCTCAGCGTGCTGAGGCCATACCTTGAGTGCTGTGTCCAGTTTTGGACCCTTCACTTCAACCAAGTCATGTGGTGCTGGAGTGAATCCAGAGAATAGTAATGAAGCTGGAGAAGGTCTAAAGTGTAAGTCATATGAGGAGTAGCTGAGGGAGCTCAGATTGTTCAGGCTGGAGAAAAAGAGACTCGGGAATTACCTTATCACTCTCTACAACTCCATGAAAGGAGCTTGTAGCTAAGTGGGGATTGGTCTCTTCTCCCAGGCAACCAGCGATAGGACAAGAGGAAATGGCCTCAAGCTGTGTCAGGGGAGATTTGGGTTGGA